GTCTTAGTAGACGATGTAACTACAGAAGAGTCACGTTTTAAATAGGAAAAATATAGAAACTCTTTGGTCTTTTTTGAGCGAGATGCTAACGGTCTAATCAGATTCAATGATCTATGCTAAGCTAAGCTAAAAGTGCTACCGCCAGACCCGGAGATCGGCTGAATGGATTCGAAAACGGTAAAACTCAACTGTTTAACTCTAGGGGAGTTGGAAAATGAGCCTATTTTTAAAAATAGTGGAGTGTTCCTTTAATACAATGTTAAACAAATGTTAAACAATTTTAATAGAGTTTTAAATGAATTTAAATGAATTAACACAGTAGATCATTAATCCTGTGTAGAGATAGAAATTATGTTTCCTGATATTGGAATATACATTTTCTTATTGAGATTTCTGTACTTGTCATTTTTTTCATAATGTTTTTTACAAATTTGAGATATTGTGTTTGGCATGCATAAAGTATGGTGAATATAGGCTTTTTTAGGCCTAATACATATGCCCCAGATTATAAAGTGACCTGTCCCAGATTATCAAATTCAGGCAGAATTTTTTTTTTTGGCACAAAAAAACACTAATAGGTGTGGCATGTCTCCTCTGGGTATAATATCTACATTCTTTCTTCTGGTGTGGTTAGAAAACATCTTAGGGATTTCAGAAAAGTCTTAATGTGTTGATCTAATGTGTTAGATAGATATCGAAATAAATCGCAGAAGTCAAAATTGCAAAAAATATCCCAGATTACCCGAATTCACCCTAGCTACCAAAATGTCCCTTCTTCACAGCTCACAGCAGCCAGTGAGTGAGTGTTGGTTAAATGCTTAAAGCTCAAAGCTGCAAACTCTGAACTAAAGCACTACTAACAACTTTATTGAGAGATTGTTTTTTTTTTTGTCAGTTTAGGCTTTTATCACCCCATCATCTTACCTGAGCTCTCATCGTTGGGCTCTGATTCACGCATAACAGGGTAAAGCAAAGGAGCCACCAGACCTTTGTGTGGGTGTTGATAACCCACAACTAAATCACTAAGAGTACGGAAACAATTCACCTGCACTCCCTGTGTGGCCTGAAACAAAAACACATGACTCAACAACTCATACAGGCAAACAGATTCAGAGATCAGGACAACATAAGTATTTAAAATATGCATTACAAAATTTCACAATTATATCCTGATTAAGGGAAGGTGGAAAGGGAACATCAGTGTTTTAGAAGATTAACAGGAAAAATCATACTATCAAAAGTGTGAAACATTTCATTACAAAATGTGTACGACGACAGATCTTAAACTTTTTAGTTTTTAAACTTTTTTGATCACAGCTTAATAATTAAAATTTTTGTATTTATATTTTAGAATTTGCTATCCTTTTCATTAAATAAGAAATATTTGGAGTTCTGACAGACCTACACACAAAAAATTATTTGAGACACTATATCCTGCATAAACTAAAAAAGGAAGGCGGAAATTGCAGAACTGCTAGGTTTGCCACAACAAGAAGTTGGTCTAGATAGGGTAACTCCCAAAGCATTTCAGTTTTTCTGCTTTATGGACCAAAGATACAATTGCATTTTGATGCCCTCATTTTTGCATCTGCTAAATTCTACATACCGCGAACAGCCTCTAGCCAGCTACCCACTGTGCAAACAAGTGCACACATACACACTCTCTCTCTCTCTCTCTCTCTCTCTCTCTCTCTACTTAAACCATTAGGCATAATGACAAATAAAATAACCCGCTCTTTGAATGCCTTTTTTTAGAAGCTTGTATTTTCAAAGCATGGTCGATGAAACCATTTTGGCAAAAACGTTTCATTATTTCCCCTAAAATCTCCAAATAGCAGCATGTTTTCCTTCCAAGAGTGCAGCTCTTGAAAAGCGATTAAAATAAATCAGACACTGGGAGGGGGAGAAAATGCCTCTTTTTCACAACACAAAGCAACTTAATATGACTCTTCTTGTGCATGTACTGTATATGTTATCCATTCTGTGTTTTAAAAACAGGCATTAACCTTAGAGTGTTTCTATATGAAACACACTAACACATCTCATCTATGCATAGATAAGAATTAGCAAAAAGACCAACAATGCATCTAGTACTGCTGTGTGGCCAGAATCTTCACATATCACATATTTTAATCTCCACACACACAGACAGACAAACCCATTCCAGTCATTCCCTACTGGATCAGGAGCGTGGGTGCAGGAGGAATCTGTGTGAAGCATTTTATTGACAGCGAGTGCCACCAAGGTCAATTTGAAACCACGCAGCTGCATGCTTCAGACAGCAGACAAGAATAAGTCTGCTTCTTATTTTTGTAGAAGAAGAAGAAGTGAAAGTAACTAGATGAGTGTCAAGTAATTTCCATGTGAAATTGCAAATTAATTCAAAGATAAAACCATCATTTAAGGTATCCTGCCTAACACTGCATAATTTTCACCTGCATTTTCTTTCATACTTGTGACTGCATATGATTAACAAACTCCTCTGTCTGCTCACCTGTACAGCCAGTAACCCGTCTGCATCAGGGAGGATTCGGTATGTATGAACATGTCGCTGGAACCTATGGACAAGACAGACAGACTGTTGAATCTAAGATAATACAGTAAAATAAATATTCTTAAAGCAGAAGTTCACCCAAAAATATTCTGTCATGTCAATCAAAATGTAGTGAATGTCTTTCTTCTGTGGATGTTCGTGCTGCTCTTTTCCATACAATGAAAGTAAATGGTGACCACGACAGTCAAGCAAGATTTTCACTGAAGAGCAACTTAAACTACAGTCTATTTTTAACTCAATTGGCTTCATAAGACTGCACATGTTCTGTGTACCATATTTATAATGCGTTTTGCCCTTCTTAAGATCTCATCAGCTTGTACAGAAGAGTCAGCTCAGACATTCTGCTAAACCTCTCATCTGATGTTTAGTGGAAAATAGATAGCCAACCAACCCTTTAAATAATCACATAAATGGAACATTATGTGGTTTTATGGAACAATGTGTGCACGCAGGGCCGTCCTTAGGGGGGTGCAACTGGTGCGGTCGCACCGGGCCCTATGCTTGAGGGGGCCCCTTGGCGAACGGACCGAGGGGGAACCACCCACCCCACCCCCCGGAATGCGATCACGAACGGACCGAGGGGGGCCCCGCTCCCTACCTCGCACCGGGCCCCGCGTCAGCTAAGGATGGCCCTGTGTGCACGCCTGACATTGATGGTTTCCATGGTCACCACAGGGCAGCATGTTCAATTCTGAAAGTAGGGTAAAAGTTAATTTATACCATATACAAGGCCACAGTCAAATAAAAAACAGCCTGTTAATGTGGTCACTGAGGCCATCAGCATGTGTCATATCATACAAGATCATATTTCTGTGCCCATCGGAGGTTAGATAAACCAGAATTTGTCCTCATTTGCATTTGGCCACACAACCTGAAACACATATTCAACTGAGTCCAATGAAGACACAATTAGAAAGCTCAGTGTTTCCAGGTAATCTAAAAGAAGAGAACAAAGCACAGAGAGGAAGTGTGACTGTGTGAGTAGATGTTTTGCATGTGAACTGTTTCAGAGAGAAGAGATGAGGTAGAGGGCAAAGGGAAAGAATGAGCCAGAGTCAGACAACGAGCGAAAAGGAGAATGAATGAGAGAGAAAGAAAGTAGGGAGAGCAGTTGGAGCTGGAGGGCTCAGCCTTCAGGAATGTGTCTGGCTGTGGGCCGCAGAGGAGAGAAAGCAGTGCGGTCACTGGAGCCTGTTCCCTCCTACAGGGGCCAGAGACAGGAGGAAAACAGGGAAAACTAAGGCCTGAATAAAGCTGGGGCCTAGAGGGACTGCTGTAGACTGGATCTTGTCTCCTGGAGCTCATGTGCATTGAGATAGACAGTACTAAACTATCTGAAAAGTAGGCCCAGTCACCATCTTGCCAAAGTTCTGTTGAAACCTGATGGGGAAGGCAGACACATGGCTGTAAAAATCCATCTCACAGGCACAGACTACAAAAGGACTACAATAGTTCATTGACTTATTGGCAATACCTGGTAACTATTGTGATTTACTTAAAATGTCATTGTCACCAGGAAGTGCTGTGAATAGACAGCTGGGTGTGGTGCCAAACTCATTCTAGGTAAATTTATCACATCTCAAACAAGTGTGTGTAAAGGCTGGAATACACTATATGACTTTTTAAAATCTGAACAGTTTTTAAAAAGCTAGGCACCATACACTTTGGAAAACTGGTCATCACACACCAAACGACTGATGATCACACACTACCAGATGTGACCCTGGACCACAAAACCAGTCATAAGTAGCACAGGTATATTTGTAGCAATAGCCAACAATACATTGTACAGGTTAAAATGATTTTTATTTTATGCCAAAAATCATTATGATATTAAGTAAAGATCATGTTCCATGAAGATATTTTGTAAATTTCCTACTGTAAATATATCAAAACTAAATTCCTCGTTGCTAGAAGATGCATGACTATATGTGTTGCAAATCTGGCTAAAAATATCAAACATATTTGATACCCTCTGACTGGTTGAAAGCATACTCTGTTGACTGAATCTGTTGACTCTGAACATAAAAAAAAAATTTGCTTATTATACACTATGTTAATTTTGGATGAAATCCTTCAATTCTAACCACCCAAAATCTGCAAACTGGTTCTGCCTTTTGGCAGCTAGCATTAACTCTTTACTCATCTGCAATTCTGTGCAGAAGTTGTGTAGTGTATTCCATTCTTGAAATGTTTTACTCACAGCAGACACAAGGCGTAGGCTCCAGGCACAGATTCGCTGTCCCTCACCAAGAAGCTGCCATCTCTCCCCGCACGGGCCAGCAGCTCTTCGGCTCGAACACGGGTGATGTCCCGATGGTACCACGTCGCTGTTGTCATGATGCTTTCAAAAGAGCGTCCTAGCAGAGTATTCTACAGTCTAATTTCCAAAAGCCAGAGTGGTTGAAACAAGTGAGCTGAAAGATCTCATATTGTTGATCTCCAGTGATGCCAAACCCGGAGGTCCATACTGTCATCCCGTCTCTGTCAGAAGCTGAGCATGCAGAATCAGATCCAGAGAGTGTTACGACATCCAAAAGCTTTGTTGTTACCACTGTCTATTGTGTTTGCCTTCCCATGAGCATTTGCGTTTTAAAGGCAGAATGCGTATTTGGCTTGAGGGCAGATCCAGGACTGGCTTCCTCCTCTTGTGATCTGCGCCGACTCCACTTGTGAGAGTGAGACTGAGGTAGATGACAGAGCGTCCATACGCATGCTGCCCACCCCACTGACAAACACTCCTATTGTCTGGCAGCAAACATCCTCTGTGCAAACATATCCAAGAAGAGGAACCAAGAGTGAAGACAAGCACCAGCTCCAGACTGTGCAGACATGAAAAGGCAGTGCAGCAGTACCACCACAAATTCAAATACTTTTTCACTCGGTTGGTTTTGCCTTATAAGGGCAAGGCAACACCCCTCTGAGAACTTCAGCTGATGTCTGCAAACTCCACTAAAGGACAGTTAACTCCAGCCAGAGGTTCACCAACAAGCCTTAGGTTAAGAACTAGACCTGGAAGACGTCTTGAAGACGTAAAATCAGAACGGATGGACCCCTGGAAAATGGAAGGAAGTGTTTCACAGCTCCAGATGGCAGAGGAGGAAGAGAGCAGAAAAAATGAAAACACTAACCTGAATTCCTCTAAGTGACCTCACGTCATCAGTGATGCATGAACCAGAGCGCAGTGCTTTAGGAACTTCCAGTCTCTCTCATTCTTTCTTTCTATCCCTCCCAGGGATCTTCAGAAAAACCCATCCTGTCCCATTCACAATCACGCTGTAACTAAATCATGGTCACATGCTTTGAATCGGACTCTACAGCTCTCTCCCGGTCATCCGCTCACAGCTTCAGAAGATCTGGGTTACTGTGCTATGCTTCCAGTTGTTTTTCTCTCACTCATTTTTGGTTTCCCAGCTCTCTCTCTCTTCCTCTAGCCTCTCTCTCCGTCTCCCTCTCTCTGTCCAGGAAGTGAAGAACACAAGCTCCACCATATGGATATGATCATCCCCCTTTCTCTGCGTCTCTTGTTTTGTCCTTCTTCTCCTCCTCCTGCCCTCCTTTTCTCCTCTCTTTCTGTTTCCAGCTGCTTGACTAACACCATCCCTCACTACTCAGCAAAAACTGTCTGCAAACCTCACCACCAAACACAAATAAAGCACTCCACCCCCAAATATCTGTTTGCTGTGAGTGGGCTATAAAAAGTCCTTGTTTTTCCACTATTAAGTAGCTATGAAGGAAGTCAGGCAGTCCCTAGAAGTTTTTACCGCACCCTTCATCTGTAGTGCTGTCTGTTCAGTGTTGTGGCAATAGACCACAGTAGGTCACATGAGGGTTCAGGTTTTGTACATGCAGGAGCTTTCAGAGGTGCCAGCATTTAGAGTGCCACCGATGAAGACAAATGATCACAGAATGCAAATAATCTTTATTTTTATCCCCCTGAATATGTAAACCTGAAAAGTTCATGCACACTTTTCCAGCTCTGCTCTTGCTGTGGCTTTGATACCTGCTCCGATTTGCATTTATATTTTGCATTTGAAGTCAACTTAAATTGCTGTTAGCAACCTACTGTACTTTCATAATGTGATGCATTTTGGAGTGAAAATGTTTAAATTTTGAACTTGATTTCATCCATCCCAAATTAAGTGGATGGTGAAAAGTGTTACACACCAGAATGGAGCCTCTGAATGTGAATTTTCTAAAACACTGATTTGCTTAGAATTAAAATTATTGAATAGTCTGTGTCACCTACAGATTGTCAGCAGAAAAAGTAAAGTCACTTTAGAGGATAAGCAATTTATTGCATTTTGTTAGAAGATTATTAAATAATAAAATAAACTAACAATGGATCCTCTGCAGTGAATAGGTGCCGTCAGAATAAAACAATGATAAAAACACCTGCACATTTGTAAGAAACAAATCCATCATTAAACATTTTTAATTTCAAACTCTTGCTTCTGGCTAACATTGCTTCTGAGTCCTCAATCTATAATATTGCTTTCTCCAGTGAAAAAAAGATGTCACATCGGAATCAGGAGTGAAATATGCACAGATCAACCACAGTTCTTAACAAAGATGTGAGGACAACAGGGAATGGATTTTTTTCACTGGATGAAGTGTTAATATGGATTATAGACTATTTTGGCCTGAAGCGACGGTTTAAGGTTAAAATGCAGCTTTTCACTTCAGAAGATGTTAGCTGATGGACTGGAGTTGCATGAATTGCTTGTTGTATGTTTTAATCAACTGTTTGGACTCTCTTTCTGACGGCACCCATTCACTGCAGAGGATTTAAGAGTGAGCAAGTGACGTAATGCCAAATTTCCCCAAATCTGTCCCAAATGAAGAAACAAACTCATCAACATCTTTGATGGTCTGAGGGAGAAGAAAGTTTTAGGAAATTTTTATTTTTGGGTGATCAAATAAATAAATGAGTGAGTGAGTGAGTGAGTGAGTGAATGAATAAATAAATAAGTATTATACTATATATAGTACTATATACTATATACTATACTATATATAGTATTTTTATCTTATTTTTCCAGTTAAAATATCTAAAAAATAAATAAAGTGAGTGAGTGAGTGAGTGAGTGAGTGAGTGAGTGAATGAATAAATAAAGTATTATACTATATATAGTACTATATACTATATACTATACTATATATAGTATTTTTATCTTATTTTTCCAGTTAAAATATCTAAAAAATAAATAAATTGACATATACAGAATACAGAAAATATCAGTACTACCCTGTATCTACCTACAAAAAGTTTATTGATTTTGTCTTGCTGTACCAGCAGATTTTTTTTCTCCAATTTTTCACTTGTTTATACTTAAAACAAGTGAAAAAAATATCTACTGGTGTATTAAGACGAAATACGCTTTTTATTAAACATACATTGTCCGAAAGCAATGGAAATATATTTTTTTAATATTGCTTCTCAATTGAATTTATCTTATTTCACAGATTGAGAATTTTTAGATATTTTTAAGTAAAAACAAAAGAGATTCATTAAAAACATATGAAGACGTCATATTTGCAGTGTACACCTGGTATTAGCATCTGAGTGTGATCCAAATTCTTTAGATGGCTGGTCATGGATACATATATGAAGGTCACACGGTTGAACCTGCCAGTTTTTCTGTGTTCTTTTCTGAAGGTACAGTCCATTCAAATACCCCCAGGGTCATGTTTACAAAACACACAATGGATTACGTCCATCTCTGACTAAGGCTAAGCCATCTAAGACATGCTCTCAGTGTCCAACATTTCATACAGTCACAGAATCTATTTCTTCTCTTCCACCTGAGGGAATATTGGTCTTTGTTAGCACCAAAAACGGGCAAAGAACTGTTTCCAGGGTTTTTCTTGGCAAACTGTTTAGATGGATCATGATTCAAACCGCACACTAAAACTCCCCAATCCTATAGCCCAAGCAGAGCTCAAGCTTTATTTTAATCACATTAATTTTTGACTGCACTGGCCGCTAATTCAGAGTGAGCCATTAAGACTAGCAAAGATCAGATTAGCAAAGAGCATTACCTACTTATTCCAAAGTATTATGAGAAGCAAACAGGTGATGGAAGAGGATTTGCACTCTCTAAAGATAGATCCCTCGTGCTTAAATAGAAACATGTGTCTATTTAAATTGCTTAAGTTAAAAACACCTATGATAGTATTACATTGTAGATCTACTAGCCTACTTTCTATGAGTGAGTAGTTAATATTAAAAGAAAATGTTTGAAAATTGAGAGAAACTCAAGAGACAACTTTCTATCATTCGAGTAACATGTTACAACAATGTTTGTGTATTTTGTCTGTCTTAGAACCGTGAGGAGATAAGAAAAGGTCTAAGACATTAGGAAAGAGGATTATGAATACAAGCCAAGCACATGAGCATTAACAACCGGCCGCTTCATGATAAACCACTTTGTTTGTTTTTACTGAAAAAAAAAAAAAAAAAAAGCAAAAATCAACTTAAATTTTTTCTAATTAAACATGATTTCTTCCTGAGTTTTGGTAACGGGCTGCATGTCTGCAGTCTTTAGATAAGTCATTTAAATTAGTCATATGGGGAGTGACTGAGCGTATGAGAACACAGGAAATGAAACCAAGATGTTTAGTGCAAAGTTGAAAACAGAATTTGGTTAGGAAATTCTGAGATGTGAACCTTAGTAAAAGTATTTGTGGCTTGGACATAGCAAAGTCATGTGTTGTCACTAGACCACCCGATTTGAATATAACTCTGGACCAAAAACATATATGAAACAATTATCATTAAATGACATTTTTCATAATTCCTTTTATGACAAATAAACTAAAAAATAACATATTTGCAATTTTCCTAAGTGAAGTCTTAAACAGTTTGGAAAGTAAAAACATCATACATCATATTATATCCATGTAAAAATTTCATATGCGATTGTGTCTAATTAGTAACTTGTATATCCAAAATAACCCTAAAACACATTATTTTTTAACATAATTTACATACCAAATTGGATGCTGACTTTAGGAGTGTTTTTTTTTTTTAATTGGCATCAGTTAGATAGAGACAGCTGCTCAGGTCTCTAACCCTGCTGGCATAAACAGGCAGATCTTGACTGAGAGGTCATAAACACATGTGGACCTTCACATCAGCATACTCAAATTAGGTTATGAAACACTTCAAGTATATACAAGCCGTTTTTAAGAGTTAGACTTAGTCACTAATTAGACACAGTCGCATATGAAGTTTTTACATGGTTATATCTCCAAAGTTATAACCATGTAAAAACTCTGCCATGAAACTCTAGATGGTGCAGTCCGATAGGTCTAACTCAATCTGACATAATGCCATCATCACATGGTGCAGCTATTGTTTTTTTTTGTTTGTTTGTTTTTTTGTATCAGCAGCAATAATCTTGCTGCTCAACATTCAAATACTTGTATTCAGCAAGTGATTGCTGTAGCAGTTGTATCGCGTTTCAGAAACCCTCCACCTTCCCCAGCTCCACCTGGATAGATCTGCTACGAGGTGATTCATGTATGCTACATATGGGGATTTTTATATGTTATATGTGCAGCAGCAGTATTTCTTACATGCTCACAGCAGCATGTCTGTGGATGTCTTAGCAGTAACAAGTCTCTGTACTTGCTCTGCCACCGCACATGACAATGTTAATGTGTTTGGTTTTGGCAGAATAGATCTGCTATGCTGCTGCTGCTGCTGCTGCTGCTGCTGTGGCAGAGCAACCGAGACTTGCTACTGCTAATACATCCACAGATATGCTGCTGTGAGCATGTAAGAAATACTGCTGCTGAAGCGTGCTGCAACTGCTATAAAAAGCACTAGCAGAGTATTTGAATATTGAGCAGCAAGCTGAATGGCTGCTGATGTGAGAAAAAAAATCAGTTGTGCCATGTGAATGATGATGTGATTATATCAGATTGAGTTAGAGCCTATCGGCCATCTAAAGTTTCATTACAGAACATTGTATAATTATTATTTATAATATAAATAATGAACTCCCACTACAACTAATGTAAGTGGTAGTTCAGTAGTAATGTGTGTCTTTTTCAGTGACAGAAACTTCAAAAGTTCTGACAATAGGTCTTACTTACCTTACATTCATGAAGTAACTGCAGTCTGTTAATATTCTTTTGTTCTGTGATCACTTTACTAT